CTTTACTTCCCAATGTGCACAATAGGAATAATGGGACTTTCCTTCCTCACAGGTGAGTTGTAGGAAGTATATTCAAGTTTGTGAGGTGTTCAGATATCAGAGTAATGAGGCTTATGTGAGTTGCTCAGACAGTATCTTAAGGCTTAACAACCAAATTGAGTTAAACTATTAAACTCATCACTGCATGTGTGAATGAACTTCCACTAAAGTTAATGGAGTTGCACCCTCTGAATGTAGCCTAGAATTTGGCACAGGGAAACAGAATGGACCTAAAATAACTAAAGATTATGTAAAAAAATATTCTTCTGTTCTAACAAGCCTCCCCCTATCAACATTAAAGGCTGTGGTACAACATTGTTGAAGTGAAAGAAGTGATGACTATGGGACATGGTGGGAAAGACGTCAATTATGAAAACTAAGATGTTTGCCTGTGTATGTTGAAGGAAACCTGATTTTTAACCTAGAACTTCTTGAGCTCTTGATCAGTCTGGGAATTTTCTGACATTTTTATCAAGAACTTCTCTTTTCAGGGGCCCTGTTACTCCAATTCACCCTGCATGGTTATTTACACTTCTGCCAAGTGGGTGCAAAAGATTACCACCCCATAAATGTTTACACTTGCTTTGAACTGGGTCTGCATCAATTGCAAAGACCCAAGGCCATAGAAAAATGAAGCCCGCTGTGTCCCACTCGCAAGACATCTGAACATGTAAAAAGAAGTGATGAAGATATGTCTAGAATTGTGTCTTACACTGTCAAAGCATTTTATAAAGCCTGTGGCCTTCCAACCTGAAAGACTGATCATTCCGTCAGTATGATGAAGCTTCTAAAGTGTGCAAGAAGCAGCTCGTGTATGCACTACAGGCTCAAAATTATCCTTCATATTGTCCACCTCTGAACAAAAACAGCATTGTATGGCATGGATTCTCAAAGCATTAAATAGCAACAAACCTGGGGCTGATTATTTGGTACTAAAAAATATTTTCTAGATTTCCAGTTCTAAGGATAAATAGTCCTACCAAAGCCAATGGGTTTTCAGCTTAAAAGAGTTGCAGAACTGGGGCTTAAATGGCTAAATATTTTACCCAATTTATTTTTCTAAACCAATATATAAAACCAATATATAACAACTGATTGTACTAAGAGTGTCACTGAGTATTCTACATGAAATATAAAATCCTGCTCATCTGACTGATGCAAAGCTCCTGCTAACTTACATGAGGAAGGTGAGAGCAACTTGCCAGCAAAGGAACATCACGTGTCTCAAGAGTGACTCGGGGATGTATCTGGTAGCCATTTTGGTCTGAGACAAAAAGAACTCTTGGTTCAGAATTGATACCTTTTATTAGACCAACTAAGAAATCGCAAAAAATCTTTTTCTGCAAACTTTTAGGCACACACTCCTTTCCTCAGGCTCAGAGAAAATTAAAGATGGTAAAAAGTCCCCATAGGTAAAAAATAAACTTCATTTTTACACAGGGGAGGCTGAAGGTGGAAGTCTGTCCCCCTGGGTCCATGAGAGGGTCTTTGTGAGTTGCTCTTTGATGTGCAGATAAGGCAGGATTCCTTCCCTGGTGGTGTCAGTTGGCAGACAGGCAAGGAGGTGTAGAAATCTTTCTTGTTGCTCAGCAGTGAAGTTTAAATCCAAAATCGGCTAAAATTCAGCATTTTATTCAAATTTTATTTGAATTTTAACTGCACATCAAAGAGCAACTCACAAAGACCCTCTCATAGACCCAGGGGGACAGACTTCCCCCTTCAGCTTCCTCTTGCAAAAATGAAGTTTATTTTCTACCTATGGGGACTTTTTACCATCTTTAATTTTCCCTGAGCCTGAGGAAGGGTGTGGGTGCCTGAAAGCTTGCAGAAAAAGAGATTTTCTGGCGATTTCTTAGTTGGCCTAATAAAAGGTATCATCTCCGAACCAAGAGTTGTAGAGTTTTGCATTTCTTCAAGAGTGACTCAGCACCTTCAGCAAATTCTAAATCACATTCACAAACCCAGCCTCAGTGCCCAGCCCCTCTGGCTTTGAAAGGTAATAGCCAATTCTAAGTAGTCAGGAGTATGTAATGAGTCAGACCTTGCTCTAATTTGAATGTGGCCATCAGCTTCAGTGAGAATGGGATCAGGGCTACTATAGCAGTATTGCATGGTGATGGCATGTACTCCCCACAAGACCAGGCTAGAAATGACAGTGACCCTCCAAGATCCCCACACCTGTACAAACATCCTGTTGTAGCCATTAGTATAATCTGAAAGTATATAGTTAGCATACAATAAATAGTCTTACCTACATCCCGATAACTTCTGGGCAGGGCTTTTGCTATTGTAAGGCTTACAACAAAAAGAAAAGAAATTAATGTTCCCCACTTCATTATGTCGGAATTTTTGGGATGGTGGTGCTGGACTGCACAGGGAAGGTAGAAAGATGCAAAAAAAAAAGAATTTTCTTTTATACTCTTCTGAAGTTGTGTGTGGTTAATGAAAAACCCTTTTCTGATCATATATATATATAAGATTAGAACTTTGGGGATATTCCTGCTAATAATTAAACAGATAAAATTATTTGCTTATTGTGCTTGTTAGTTGGACAACTTGTCACAAAAAGGCCTTGTAAATTCATTAGTCTTTCAGAATTTAGGCAAATAGACATTTGTAACTTGGGTTATCTCATTTCAAACAAGAGATGCAAACAAACTCCTTTTTTTTCCCTTACTTATGCTCTTTGTCCTACACTCATATACTGACCTTCTTCCATTCCCCCTGAAATAGATCATTTAAAGGTGAATGCTCTGCTGAAGGTACCCTGTGGAGTGAAGGACCTCAAGTTTATGCAAAAATCTATAATTTTTACCTCCTAGCTTGCTGATCAAGTTCTCTCGCACTCCTGGCTATAGGACAATAGTGAAGGAAAAGTATGGAATATTGTACGATGGAAAAGCCTCTGTCTAAAAAGCTAGAAATCTGTAGAAATATATTTCAAGAAGGAGAAAATAAAAATCTATTGTAAAAAAGGGAAAATCAGTGTAAAAAGCACTGAACGCTGCACAGACAGATACCAGATCTGGGACAGGAAAGATGAGGTTCACAAAGCTCCTGGTAGTATGGGCAGAAAATAGTAGGGCAAAAGGGCCTATGGGAGCATGTCTCCCAGAGCAGAGGAGCTGGCATACAAGGTTTGAAATGCAAGACGATAAAGACACAATTCAAGCTGCTAGACTAATAGCATTACCCCAAAAGTCCTGGGTAAGAAAAAATAACTACATAGAAGAAAAAGCACATCTGCTTGAAAGCTACTGATTCCAGTACTAGACTTCTTCATTAGACCCACAACAGATGACAAACACCGTAATCAAGAGCAGACTGAATTTCATCTGCTCTGAAACCCACACTTGGGATTTAGTGCAGTTTCGCTAGGGGTCATTCCAGCCCTGGGAGACACTAGACTGCTCCCCTGTGTGTTAGCCCATTGTTGGTTTCTGATTGATTTCATCCTGCCCAAACGCATTCTAAGGGCCTACACTCACTAGCTACTTCTTGCAAAGAGGTGGCAAGGTAGTCTTGCTGCTTCCTTTCGCAGAACTAAATCTAGGCTGTCATTTCTTCATCATCTTAACCATTATTTTCTCTCGTGTGTTTGCTCCCTTGGATTCAGAGATAGAGAATGGATAATGCTGATCCATTCTAGAGGACTCCTGCACACAGAGTTGGGGTGCTCCCTGGCCTAGAATTGACACAATGTCTCCTCAGAGGCAGCCAAAGGGTACTCTAGAAGTGAAGAATAGCTGGAAAAGCAATCAGACAGGAAGCAGAGAGGATGAGAGTCATAGTGTGCATTACTCGTATCTTATTAGGAAAACATACACAGGAAGACCAGGGTAGGAACAGGGGCTGGAAAAAGTCCTGCTCACTCCTACCTTAGTTGTTTTTATTCTCCATGTTAAATAAGTACCCAGTAAGGTGGGGGAGGGTAGGCAGCATTATTTGTCCACTCCCACCTGGCAGAATTTGGCCTTCAACTCTTTGTGCTGCTTACCACAAGTGAAGCCTCTACAGGTCAGCACACAAACAGAGCACTTTGGCCTCCTGACGTCTCAGTCAGGCACATTTCTCAGGCACTGTTGCACTCAGGGCCTGGGGGAAAGAGAGGTTTTCTTTCAGTGTCTTCCAGCTGTAGTGTTGCACTCTTTAGATGAGGGCTAATAAAGCTGTATACCACAGAACAGTGATAGGTGCCTCCTGAACCTGTGGTAGAGAAGACCCCAAAAGTTGACAGTGGGCAAGCTGACAGTAGGCGTGTCTACACGAGATGCTACTCCACAGTCATTATTGTACATTTATTTAGTACTTCTATTAGCAAGTACTAAATAAATGCACAGTAGCCCAAGTTACTGCACAGTAGTGCCGGCGACTGTCTTTTAGGTAATGCTACTGAGCAATAGCCTAATAATGCTGGGCAGTATTGTATTAGCACTGTCTGTATTGTGATGTGCTACTGCACAATATTGCTTGGCTACTGTGCAGTGAGCATCTTGTGTAGATGCACCCAGTGTCTTTCAAAGTGAAGGAGAAGGCTGAGATCTGAATTGACCCCAAGACTCCTTGCCTCTGGATAAAAAATGAGTCTGTTCAGAGCACATTTCACAATGCATCACACTCCTGTCCTAGTATTGACTCTAATGCTCCATGAGCAGATACAGAACTTTAGACTACATAGGAGAATCTCTCTGGAGAAAAGTTTAATACAGTGATAATTCAGGGAATTAGGGCTCTCTTTCCTTCATAACATTAGTGAGCCAATGCTGCAGCATGCCACAGAGGGATCTTTGGTCATAAGGGGCACATCCAGATGAGCACATGTGCAGTATGTGGTGCCACAGACCCACCTGCGGCACTGCACTCACCACACATGCAGGCATTCCCTGCACTACTAATTTGCAGCTTTGGGGGGTTTTGATACCAGTCCCAAAAAATCCCACACTGGAAAAAGCAGGGTTGGTACACATGGTGGCAGAATGCACTGTCTGTAACCGGAGCCTGGCCAGGTGGAGCCACATTTCAGCTGCTGGCCAGGCTCCCTGCTGCCAGATTGCCACTGCTGGAGCCCTGGGAGGCCCCCAGTACACCAGGTCCTGGCCCCAACCTTCCCTACCCCACCTGGGGCAACTTGCCATGCACCAGAGCATGTGTGCATGGGCGTTCCCTGGGGACAAGTAGCAGCAGCATATATTGCACCGTTGCTATTTGTCCCCAGGGAAATGCACTTGCACACTTGTCTGGATGTGCCCACAGTGTTTTCTTTCCTGAAAGACTCCTGGTTCTTCACTACTCTGCATCTTGTCTTGCAATTTAATCCTGTGCAAAATGCTGCCACACCAGCATTCACCACACAGTTGTGCCCATGAAAGTATCTGAAGCTCACTTTGCCTGCTTATTTATGGTTACACAAGCTGCAAGGCATTAGAGAACCAGATGTGACCTGTTTTCATTAATATCTGAGAGAGGAAGTGTGTGAGAAACCATTCAGTTCACTGCTGGTTTTAAAAGACTTCAGTTAAACTCCTCCTTTCTCCCTGTATCCAGTCAGCAGCATAGAAACCTCTTTTTCCATTTCAGGCTTTTTAAATTGCATCTGAAAGGGTACCTGAATGTTCTTTTTTATTTGCAAGTGTAAAATGATATCTGCATGATCTGGAAAGAAGACATAAGTCTAGCACTAAGGGCAGGATCCAGTGGTGCTCAACCTCTGGCCCACAAGGCCATATTATCTAGTTCATGGGTCTCCCCACAGATTTGTAAATTTGGTGGTGGGAGCAGTGGCAGTGTTAATTGCCATTCCCCTACTGCCAAATTTCAGGCCCTGTGGGAAGACCTGCAAGCTAAATGACATGGCCCTGAATCACATGGCCTCATGTGCTGGCCCACACTGGCATGTAGTGTGGCCAGCACACAGGCCAGATCCAGCATGAAGGGTTGGGCCATGCCTGAGATCAGGCTGGTGCATGTGGGATCCAGCCCACAGACTAGTCCTTTGCCACTCATCCAGCCTGCAAGGCCAGACATTTGAGCACCATTGCAATAAAGGACTTAGGGTGTGTCTACACAAGATGCTTTACTGCACAGTAATCTACTGCATAGTAAAGTGCCACCATCTACATGTGTGTACATTTACTGCAAAGTAAATTAGTCTAGTGTGCAGTTATTTACTACCTGTAAATACAGGTAGTAAACTAACTGAGCAATAGATACTGTGCAGTAGCACATGTGTAGATGCTGACTGGGAGTAAATTTGCTCCTGGTCAGCCCCAACACTAGTGGGGCAAAATACCCCAGGATGGGGAACTACCCCAGTCCTGGTGCTACTCAGCTCCTGGCTCCCCACAGGAGCTAGGAGGCAATCAGTGCTGGGATTCAGGACCTCCCTGCTTCCTCACCCAACCCAGGGCTGGCCAGGAACAGGGGCAGCAACCTGAGCAGCCTGGGGCTGGCCAGGACTTTCCTTTCTGGGGCAGGTCCCAGCCAGCTCCAGGCTGTGCAAGGATTTCCCCACCCAGCCCAGAGCTGATCAGAAACTGCCCTTCTTCTGGGACAGTTCCCAGCCAGCCCTGGGCTGCTCAGGAAAATACTCACACAGCCTGAAGCTGGCTGGAAGATGCCCCAGAAGGAACAGCTCTGGGCCAGGTCCTGGCTGCATGGGGAAGACCTGCTGGGCACAGGGCTTGCTCCATGTGTAGGGGGCCAAGAGAGCTCTGCAGCAGCAGCTGTCTCCTGGCCCTATGCACATCACGACCCCTCCCGATGTGCACGGGGCCAGGAGACAGTTGCCACTACAGCCAGCAGAGCTCTCCTAGTCTGGTGCTCATGGGGACTAGCCCTGTGCTTCCTGCCAGCCCCTGGGCTAGCACCCAGGGTGAGCCTGGAGCTCCCCCTGACTGCTGTAGGGAGCTAGAGCAGGGCTGGAGCAGCTCTGCACTGGGCTGTTCCCGTTGGGAGCAGATTTGCTGCCAACAGGGAGCACATATAGCTGCGCTCTCCAGGAAGAATTATTTTATTGCATTAATTGCATGTGTTGATCCGTCTTTAGGCAACTAAGAGGGTGGTAATGGTGGTGCTGCTTCTCAGGATGCACATTGAGCTACTCAAGTTTATGCCAGCAGACAGTCTGCCCGTCTACTCTTACAGATAACTTGGAAGTTCACTTGAAAGCTCCCACTGGTGCTGAGTGCAGCTGCTGCTGTCCAAATGGGGTGAGCCTCTGTTATCAGGTAACAGCTGGGCTCAGGTCTTACCACTGGCTTCCTGTCCAGCTCCAGGTACAATCCAAAGATTGGGTGATGTTCTTTAAGACTATAAAGAACCTAAAAGATACTGTTTGTAAGCCCACCTTTCCCCTGTACATTGGTATACCAGAGAAGGAAATATGAGAAGCTTTTGCAGTCAATAGCTGTTTGAAAATGCTGGACTGAAGACCAGGCCTTTCTCAGTAGAAGCTCCCTGACTCTTGACACTTGCTCCCCACTTGATGGTCACCTAAGCTCACAGCTTGCAATGCTCCACAGTAGGATGTTTTCATTTCATTAGCCTTTTCTGAATTTTTGGTGCACAGTTTTCTGTAATAGTATTCCTGACAAAAGGACAGATACTTAATGCAAACCCAAACCGATAACAGTGTATACCAGAGTCTGCTCACTTGAATTTCTACACTATTGTAGCACAAAAGACCTGCATTGGTTCTGCTGCAGGTAGTGTTACCAGCTTCAGTGTTCAGAAACTACAATTCAGATTCCCAAAATGATTAATTTGAATTTGGTGGGGAAGTTTCTTTGCACCTCACTTGCCTCTTGGGGTTTTAGCCTTTGGAATTTGTTTTCTTCATGTTTTCAGGCATAGCGGGGTTCACAGTGAGGGCTAGAAAATTCCAAACGTATTGCCTTAAAACAGTGAAATGTTGAGCCCCATCATGTAGTGATATGTTAAAAACAAAACAAAACACCCCCTCCCTTCCATTTCCCTCTCCTAATGCCTGGTTTGAGATTCTCCTGCCTGATCCCACTCCACTATCCTTCATAATACATCTCTTATTGCTAAGAGTTCCATCTTTCAGATCATCCACATCTGAACAATTCCCCTGATTGCTGTACTCCTTGAGAAAATGCCCATTGCAAATGAATTTTAATTTGTGAGTCATTCAACAAACCAGTCCTGACATTTGTGAACATGCTTTGCATTCACCCAGTAGTCTGAGGGATTTCCATATTGCAGTGGGAGCTGTGAGGCCAGCACATGTAGCACATCCAAGGTAGTTTTAATTTAACTAGAGGAGGTAAGAATTGCAACAAAGATGTCTTTCTACATTTCACCAGCAATTCCACTACAAATCCGAAGTGCCCAAGAGAGTTATACAGTCCTGACTAGAGTCTGTACCTTCCTATTTCTGTTACAATTCTTCCCTGGGCTCACTAAATTAAAGATAGCTTAGCTATGCCTATACATGGTGTAAAGGCACCTCCCAGTTGCAGGGTTGACATAGCCTTGATTAATAATCCTCAGCCTGCTTTACACATAGTCCATTCATAGCTTACTGTTTTCACTGTGTCCCTCATCATCGATGTCCTATAGTATTGTTTCTGCTGTGAACCCTTAGGCTGGGAAATAAATACTAGCAGATAAAGAGAGAACAATGTACATATGGCAGAGATTTTTTGGATGAATTAATACATGTTTTGGGAAAAACCTCATGACTATAAATACTCTTAAATTCAACAATACTACAAAGCTGTGAACAAAAAGTTACCTGGAACCCAGGTATTTAAACATGAAATTTAATCATGACACTGCTGCTTAAATTTTCAACCAGCTCTACTTTTGTCTCTAAATATTTCACTTTGTACCAACACCTCCTTTGAGTGGTGTAGTAAGAACGCTTCTCAATTTTAATCAGCATCAGTCTTACAGGCAGGGAGTAGTGTCTGTAGGCAATACCTTGAGTATCTCCAAAAGAAATATGAACTCTATCTTTCCTTTAC